AAAATATGGCGTGGCGCCAGTGGCTAAGGTGGCTTGTCCAATTCAGCACTCTGGGAGGCTGAAGGCGGGTGAATGCTTGAGGCAGGATTTCGATACCTACAAGCCGTGACAAGAAGCCATAGACACCAAAACACACTCACCGTCTTCTATCTTCTAGCGATATAATAGAAGAGGATTTATTTTTAGGTACAACTTAAAATAATAAAATATACAGAAAATTAAGCCGGGCATGGTGGCGCATGCCTGTAGTCCCAGCTACTCGGGAGGCTGAGGCAGCAGGATTGCTTGAGCCCAGGAGTTTGAGGTTGCTGTGAGCTAGGCTGATGCCACGGCACTCACTCTAGCCTGGGCAACAGAGTGAGACTCTGTCTCAAAAAAATAAATAAAATAAAATAAAACAAGTTGACTTTTTCACATGAGGAATGAATGACAAGGCCTTGTTAGGGACTAGAAAAATAAACTAATGCATGGGGAAGAAAACCATACTGGCAAATAAATATTAGATCTGCGTAACTGCCAAAGGCTTCAATTTCTCAGTTGTATTATACAGCACAGAATCTTCAGATTTTGTTTTGGCCTACTAGGCAGCAGCAAATCATCCAAATGCTTGCCCAAGGCCATTCAGAGCAATGAGTTGCAGAACCCAGTTATGGAAAGACAGCTGTTCTTACTACTCAAAAAGTGTACCCAAAATGTAGAAAACATTAATTCAGATTCCAGTAGTAACAAATGACTAGAGCACAAAACAAGCCATAGTTGGTGCTAACACACCTAGCTATCAGCTCCACAGGACAGAGCACTGTCCAAGAGTCTACAGTGAGTGCGCAATGAAGCATCACCTGAGGCGACCAATGAAAGTAGATGGTATCAGGGGACCTGAGTCCCCTGTCCTGAGTCAGGACAGAAAAGCTGTGTCATGATTTGCACAGAAAGAGAAAGAGCTATTATTTCTTGTCCCTAGTGAGGAAAAAAAGAAGGGGGCATCAATACTAACCTTAGTTAGGCTTGTGCAACCAGAAACTGTCTGCTAAAAGTGGGGGGAAAGTACACATTGTATCATATTGATATTTGCTGAAGATTAACCGCGTCCATTGTACTAAGCAAAATACTGTGGGATCCTGCTACTCGAAATGTGGTCTGCAGGCCAGCAGCATCAGCCTCACTGGGTCAGACTCACAGAATCTCAGGCCCCACCCAAGACCAATAGAATCGGAATCCCCAAGCCATTTGCTTGCACATAAAAAACGTTATAAGAGGCGCGGCAGAATCTCTCACTACATTCTCACAACAGCCCTGTGGGACAAATACGTTACGATCCCCGTTTCACAGAGGAAAAAAACAATCAAGGTTCAGATAAGCCTCTTGCCCAAGATCACGGAACTCTGGAGTGGCGAGAGTTGCCAAGGTTCTCCCTAGAGCCAGGACTGTGAGAGGCGCCCACGACCCCTGCCAGGAATCACTGGACAGAGCTTCGGTGCGCGCCGGCCTTGGTCCGGCCAGGAGGGCGGGAGGCACAGGCCAAGGCCCAGGTCACCGTGAGCGCAGAGAGCGTCCGCCGCAACCTCCTTCACTCACCTGAGCCGGGCGAAGACGGACGGGTGCCGCAACACCAAACCCGGTATACCGCGGGCTGAGACAGCACGAACACTCCTCCAGGAACACCGGGACCTCACAGCCTCACTTCCGGCCAACTGCCCACTACTTCCGTGTGCTGTGCGATTAACGGGTACTGCCGAGGTTCAAAAGACTGCGTCAGCGTTTTCCAAGGACGTTTTCTACTAGAGGATGTTGATGGTTAGACAGGGGGAGTCTAGGACCTGCCTAGGGAAAACTCCTGCCTAGATGCATCGCTCTGGAAGTAATTGAGTAGCTTAGAAACCGGTTTGAATCCAGGACCGCCACTCAGGGTTTTATGGCATTATGGAAGTCACGTAAACCCTCTAAGCCAGTACAGTGATGGTAATAATGCACTTATAATAGAGATGCATCTGTAAGGTGCTCTCAGGAGACGAGTTAGAGATGTGATGGGTAGACGAGCCTGTTAGGAGAAATGGATGTGAGGAGCAGGAGCTTGAGGAGGCCAGAGCTATGGCAGATGAGCCAGGGTGATCCTCCACCTCTGTAAGTAGGAAAGCTCATACCTGGGTCGGTATGGACACCTAGGCAAGGAAGAGACTCCACCGAGCCTCTACCTAACAGGGTCTTCATACCTTGTCAGCACCTTGGCTGCTGGTCTACACATCCTAAAAGCTGTGAAGGAGACCTGAGAAATCATGCTCCCTCCCGAGTACCATCTTATTGGGGAGACAAAGTCAATGTAAGGAGAAGAGGGACATGGCATCCCAACTCTTGAGCTCTGTGGATAGCACTATTTGCCTGGGTGTGGACATTTAGGGACCCAGACCACTGCTTAGGGAGGATTCTCTCACACAGGCCAGACCAGGGCAAACACTGCTAGTTGCTGATTATGACTTTGTCCTTGCTAGCAGAACCCAGAGAGAGCAGAGAGCCTATCCCCAAGGGATGAACCATGTTTGCTCCTAGGCAGCCATAACAATCCTGTTCCTCTTTGCCAAATACTCAATTTCCCAGTCTCCCTTGAAGTCGGAGGAGCATGTGACTCAGTTCTGAACAAGGAAATTTAAAGGGAAGTGTGCTGGTAGGGTTCTGGGAAAGCTTCCATTATCATGATAAAGTGTTACAGCCTCAATCCCTGCACAGAGCTGTGGCAGCCACCTTGTGGTAAGGAGGGAACAGGGTAAGGATGGGACAGTGACGATGAAAAATCTAAGTCCTTGATGAATTGATTCCAATGACACTCAAGTCCAGACTTCTTGTCAGGTGGGGAAAAATAAATTCTTTGAGGTCCTGTTGTGTTACTTATAGCAGAATGCATTCTTAATTGTGGGGCTTTGTGAGGATGACAGAAGAAATTGTCATAAAGGGCAGCTCTCTGCTGTGCAGCAAACTTGGGTCCCTTTTGTCTATGGGGGCCTCACCATTAATTGCAAACCCATTCTCAACCTTCACTTCTATGCACTCTGCCCTCAAACATCTGCCATACTGTAATGTGGCTCAGGTTTCCACAGGCTGCATCTAGCTCTCCTGCATCACTCGTTTTCTGGCTAGCAGCCTAGTGTCCAGATTCTGAGCTGGAACCAGCGTGAAGCCCTTTTGACGACAGACTGAGCTCAAGTGAAAGCCCCATTGGGCAGAAATGTGGAACCACGACTCCTCCTGGGCAACGTGGAGGAGCCTGGGCTTTGAGCCAAACTCCTAGCACAGCCCAGTGAGCACCTCTAGTCTCGTGCCTCCTCTGGGAAATGTTTACTCCAGCTTTGCCCTCTACTAACCCTTCCACCCAGGCCTCACCTCCCATACCCACAAAAACACAAGAAGGTCAAAGAATGCCACTCAAGAGGCTTTCTCCATTTTATTTCTTTGGGAAAGGAAAACGAAAAGTCTTTCCATCACATATGGTAGAGATATATATTTATATATATTTATATATAATTTCTTTTGTGGTTGGACATCCCAAAGCTAAGTCTGTTCATATTTTTTTCTATTTTTTTTTCCTACTAATGCCTTTTCTTCTCCCTGCCCCTGTGGCCTAGGGCCAGGTTCTGGGACAGGTGCAGTGAGGGGTGAGTGGAGTGGGCAGTGGTTGCCAGGGTGGCTTCCCACCCAGCTCAGAGACCTGGTGAGGACCACCCAGAGGGGCTGTGCAAAGTGTTAGAGGCCACACAGAGGGGCGCTCCTGTTTTGTGGGGGATGCACAGCTCATTAAACAGTCACCAGTCATGGGAGGAGGCCAATCAGGGGCTGGGGGACTTGCTCACAGTAGTTGCCAGCTCTCTCCACCCTGCCCCCCAAATTCAGTGTTGGGGATGGGAGGAAGAGAGTGAAAAAGAGAGAAATACCAGGGCTGAGGGCCAAGCCTCCTCCAATTTTTATTGCTGGTGAATTAGAAATTTGCTTTTCCCTTCCTGTCTTGGGGAGATGGAGTCTGAGAGGGCCCCGAGAGGAAGTAACATTGGCTGCCCTAACCCTGCTGATGGCTGTGCCTGGCCTACCCTGGGCAAATGCTAGGCCATCTCAGGGCCCTGGGAACCAAGAGGTCAGTGTTCCTCTCAGGGTAGCCTGTTCTTCAAGGGCAATCACATCCACCCCTCCCCACCCCTCAAACAAGGGCCCCGGGCTCAGACTTGGGCCAATCAGTGGAGCTGGGAAGTGGGCAGGTGCACCAAAGGTCAAGCAGAATTTTCTACTGGAAGAAAAGGTGAGACTTTGGGGACGAGGCAGCCTAGGAAGATGATGTGCTGAGCATGAAAGCAGGAAGCTGGGGGAATCAGGTGGGGGAAGACATTGCAGACACTCATCTGACCTCAGAAACTGGGTGAAGGGAGTGCCTGAGAGGCAGGTAGCACTTAATAGCTGTAGTTAGAGCTGAAAAGTGGTCCTAGGTGTGGGGTCAGCCAAGTAGATTGGGCTGTTGCCCTGCAGGATCCTGGCCAGAAGGGTGAGGGTAGAGCTGAGAAGCCTCCAAGTGACCCAAGAACAAGAGGACAGATCTTCCCTGGGCGCTGAGCTTCTAGCCCCTGCCCTCCCCTCCCCCAACGCACACGCAGGGACACACACTCAGGACCTCGCCAGGCTCTGAGGCCTGAGCCCAAGAGACCTTGGGGGGGAGGGGCTGGGCAGGTAGCCCTCTCAACCACGGGCAGGCCATCTGCTCCCACTTGTCCTGCCAATCTGCCCAGGGAGGGAGAACACTGCAGAAAGGAGAGAAGCCAGGAGCCTAGGGTCAGCTTCAGCAGACACCATGCAAGCCCCCTCAGGCTCCACAGCCTACGAAGTGAGCACAGAGAGCATCACTGGACAAAGGGTGGCTGACAGTAGCAGCCCAGACCCCACCAGAGGGGCTGGGGCACCTCATGGCATTGCAGGTCTGCGGTCTCCATCTCCAAGGGGGTGCCAAGAAAGGGAGCATGACTCCTCTGCTGCCTGGGCCCTCATCCCCACTGACTCTGCCCTCACCCATTCCCTCCTTTTAGGAGGGTCCAAGTGGGCTGCCCACGAAGGGAGCCCTGGAGCTGGGAGGGCACAGCACTGGGGGAAGCCGGGTCGCAGGGAGGAGCCTGGTCACAGCTGCTTTGAGAACCTCTTTGGTCTGGGGATATGGGACATATGGGGGAGAGAGATGGAGGGGAGGGGACACTGGGGACTCTGGCCTCTTGACAAGACATTGTCAGAAGGCCACGTTCCCAGGTCGAGGATCAGATTTCTGTGGACTCAATGCGCTCGAGGCGCGAAGGTGTCCAGGCTTTCTTCTCCTCGCCATGTTGGGGGGTCGGCGTGCTCGCACCCCCCGCCGCCCCGCGCTCCCGCAGCCGCCGCTCCAGCTGCTGGTTGCGCTGGTACATCTCCACATAACTCAGCTGCAGCTGCTTCTGGTACTCGATGACCTTTTCCTTCTCCTCCAGCCATACGCGGCGCTCCTCCGCGAAGCTGGCACCCTGGCGCTCCCGGGCGCGCCGCTCGGCTGCCAGCTCGGCCTGCAGCCGTCCCACCTCCCGCCGCAGGGCCCGCGTCCCGTTCTCCCCGCCTGCCTCCGCCTCCCCGTCCACTGAAGCCAAGGAGGCGGCGGCGGCCACCCCGGCCTGACGGCGCATCTTGGCCTCATCGCTCTCGCAGGTGGCCAGCGCGTCCTGCGGCTCGGCCGGGTCCACGGGGGTCAGCGCCGGCTTGAGGCAGGCGGCAGGCAGCTCGCCCTCGCCCAGCTCCAGGCTGGCCTGCTTGCTGCCGAAGGAGTCCCTCAGGCTGAGCAGCTGCTCCTCCTTCTCCCGCAGGGAGGCCTGGCCCTCCCGCAGCTGCGAGCGCAGCCCCACGATCTCACTCAGCTTCTGCGACACGTCAGCTTGCGAGTCCTTCAGCTGCTGCTTCAGGAGGGAAATCTCTCCAGCCTTCTGGCACACCTGGGCAGGGCAGGCAAAGGAGAAGCGGCAGGTAAAGGCGGAGCCCTGCTCACCCCACCCCACGCCACCTCTGGCACCAGGGCTCGGGCTCAGCCCCTCGTCAGACTGGGCTGCAGAGACACGGGTGCCTTGCCTGGACTCAGGACAGACGTGGCCAACCACACATAGCCCAGGGACAGCCTCCAGTCCCAGACCCACTCACAGACACTCCTACTTCATTCTTCTCCCTCCTGCTCCTTTCATTCCCCCTTGTGATAGTGGGGGCTACTGCTCTGGGGTTCTCCAGAGGGACAGAAGGGAGACAGACGGCCCCAGCCCCCAGCCCGCACCTCCCACTTGGTTTCCTCCATCCGGGGCAGAAAGTCAGCCTGCTCCTTCTGGCAGGCGGCCACCTTGTCCTCTAGCTCTTCCCGCTGTCGCATCAGCCGGGCGGCCTCCTCCTGCAGCTGCTTCTTGTCCTGCTGCAGCCGCAGCACCTGCAGCTGCAGGCCTTGCTGGGCGCGCTGGGCGCGGCGGGCCACCTGCTGCAGCTTCCCACTGCAGCCCTGGCGCAGCTCTGCCAGCTCCCGCTCCCAGGCCTTCTGCCGCTCCTCCAGGACCTGGGCCACAGCCGCCTCACTCTGCTCCAGGCTGCGTCGCAGAGCTGCCACCTCCTGCTCCTTCTCCCACAGCCGCTCCTCCAGCTCCTGGATCAGTGCACTGGGCGAGGGCGGTGAGCAGGCCGCAAACGGCAGGCCTCCACCTCCGCCCTCCCCAGACCCCAGATGGCCTGGCCGACCCATAGATGACGAGGACCCACTCTTGCTGGAGGCCCGCCCACTGTCAGAGGTCCCCAGGTCCTGGTAGCCCGACCCCCCACCGCTGCTGCCACCACTGCCACTACCATAGCTGGCAGTGCCGATGCGGTTGATGTGGCTGGTGGAGGCGCTGAGGGGCGCCAGGTGCTGGCTGTAGCTGGAGCTGTAGGTGGGCAGGCTTGTGAGTGAGTTCCGGCCTGAGTCTGAAAGGCCGCCCCCACTCCCACCTGCTGGTGTCATGGTCCGAGACTTGTCCAGTCCGCCCTTGAGGCCACCAGGGCCCTGTCGACCCTCAGGGGTCCCATTGGTCTGCGGGGGGCACAAGTTCTGCATGGAGTGGAAATTCTTGGGTACAACAGGCTTGAAGGCTGACGGACGAACTAGTGGCTCTGAGCACTGCGTGAAAGCCAGGGAGGGGGAGGGGCATCAGGAGGAGGCCTGAGCCTTGGCCTCAGCCTCTTTCCACCCACTCGTTCGATTTCCATCCTCAGGTTCCTCATCTGGGTCTCCACTTCATGGCTCACCCAAGCCAGGTCTCTGTCCTGGATCCACCAGATGGACTTGGCCCCAGAGCCCCACTCCACGACTCCCCAGCCCAGCCCCCAAGAAGGCCCACTTTGCCCACCTTTCTGGGCTGCTTCCCACCCCCAGAAAAAGGCTGTGAGGGTCTCAGGCCCTGGGGACTGACCTGGTCTAGTTTGCCTGAGGTGGCCAGGAGCTTAGGTGGGTGGCTAGGCTCTCGATACTGTGGAGGGGCCTTGTCACTGCCACCACTGCTGCTGCTGCCACCGCTGCTGCCCACCACATTGCCGCAGACATCCGTGTGGTCACTGCCTCGAAGCTCGCCATTGAGGTAGAGGGAGTTGGCGAGAGCCTTGTCTTCTGAGGGGTAGCGGCTGGGCCTCTCCCTGCTGGCCCCGCTGCCACTGCCTCGGGGACCGGGGAAACTGCCCTGGCTGCCCCCACCCCCTGTGCGGGTGCCCACGCTCTTCATGGCAAACTCCTGGGCATGGGCCACCCCACTGCCCACACTGCCCATGGCCAGGCGGGGGTCTGGGGGTCCAAGCTCAGAAGGCCGTGGGGCAAAGGCCAGGAGGGGATCCCGCCCTGGGTCAGCACGCACAGGTAGTGTCTCCAGCTTCGCCATGACTAAGCCAGGAGGGCACTGTGGGCACAGATGAGAAGGCAGAGATAGGTCACACCCCACCCCCACTCCCACCCCCCAACCAAGTCAGCCCCAGCACTACCCTGTTCCCCAGTGTCCCTTTCCCTACAAAGGGGGTACAAAGAGTTCCCAGGCATCCAAGGTGGAGGAATAGGGCCAGGGTAAGAGAGGGAGCTTGGTAAGGGGGATCTGCCCATTGCCCACTTGATAAAGCCCAACCCCAGGGGCACCATGCACACAGCCCCAGCTTTACCCGGGTCAATATCCCACTCAACTTCTGTCTCAACCCCCCTCGTCCATGAGCCTCCTGTACTTAAGAGCCCTCTTAACGCTTTGCTGAAACCCCCAGAACTTAAGGGTTCTTTACCCTGGGTCTGAGCCCTGTAGCTCAATTTCATGGGCTAGGGAGATGGGCCTGGAAGGGGAGAGCAGGACCTGAATCCAATAGGGAATCTCAGGAGTTCGGGGAGGGAGAGAAACACACCCCTATCCAGAAATTTAGGGTGGGGGTTCTTCCCAGCCCCCTAACCTAGGGTGCTGCAGTCAAGGGCAGAAGTGGAAGCTCACTACCAGCGCAGGCTTCTCTCCTTGCCTTTCCAAGGGGGTGGGGAGCCGACGGGTCCTCAAGCCTTGGACCCTCCGAGGCCCGGTCTGCAGGGGCCATGTGCCTCACTCTCGCAGTCCGGGCTCGGCCCGAACCAGCTGCAAGACTTTGGACGCGCCAACTGAGCCATCCCGGACTGCAGTTTTCTCCTCTGCGAAATGGGAGAAATGAAGGACCTACCTCGCGGGGCTGCCGCGTGCCAGGGGCCCCGAGGCGGCGGGCACAGGAGGAAACAGGGGTCTTGGCGGGTGGTGGGTGGGAGATGCCGCTGCAGCCCGCATCTGGGTCGGCGGTGGGCACCGCCTCCAGCACGTCCCGCCCCCAGCGGACGGACTGGGCCGCGGTTGCAGCGCGTGGCAAGGGAGCCCTCCCAACTCAGACGCACGGGGGGCCCAGCAGGAGAGGGGCCCCTCCCGGAGACCAGTACTCTGCAGGGTTCCCGGGGCTGGCTGGGGCCCAGGCAGAGGACAGAGGGGCGCCAGCTGCAGGCGCCGGCGGAGCCTCCCTCGAGGCCTGCGTTTGCCACAGGTGGGCGGAGAAGTGGGCGGGGAGAGGGGCGGGGCCGCCGCACCCATTTGGCGCCCCAGAGGATCCCGCGCCTGCGAACCCCGCTAAGAATTCATTGCCACCAGGAAGTCTTCCTGGACTACGCCCCTCCCCTGTTCCCTGTGGACCTTGACCCTGCTCAGTTCACCATGAAGTCCCCTAAGCCCTTCGGTGGGTGTGTGCCCCCTCCCCCGAGGCCGGCCCACACGAGAAGGGGGAGCAAGACCTCAGGTTACCTGTGCTCAGGGAGGCCCTGCTTCCTCGTTCCTTTGTCTCAAGTCCGCAGCGGGAACACCTGCCCCAGAGATGTGCATAATCCAGCGGGGCAGGGGCCTGCCCCAGGCAGGCAGTGCCTGCCTCAGGTAAGGCCGGTAAGGCCGGTAAGGCCCTCAAATATGTGGGCCAGAAATGGGAGGGAGCGCCCTTAAGGCCTTTACCCGCTACTCCCTTCCCAGACAGGCAGGGAGCCCTCCTTCCCTATCAAGGTGAAGGGTGCACGTGGCACCCAGTGGCCCCTTGAGTGCTCCACACACCATCTTCTACCCAGATGCCCAGTTCTAATGCTAGGCCCCAGACCCAGAAAGCCTGACAAAACTTCTGTCCTTCCAGGGTCTTCTGACCACTACAGCAGGAATTGCAGCCCCAGATTGCTGGAAAGTTTGCCATCAAGCCAGGCCACTACCTTTGTAGAATTCCATTCCCTTAGTGTCTGTCCCTACAGGTATGGAGAACAGCACTTTGCCTGCCACCCTCCTCCCTTGGGCCAGTCTGTCCCTCACATGCAAGGGCTGGGACCAGGGTGAAGCAAAAGAGGCTCCTAGGGCACACCTCAAGTGCAGGGTCAGCAGGCTTGTGACCCTGTGAGGGCCTCCTTAAATTTTGTGCGTTAGGTGCCTCTCCTGCCTAGTCCCAGCTTTGCCTCCACTCCCCAGCACACTCCAGCCTGCTGCCTAGGGCCTGCAACCCCACCCACCCACCTAAGCACAACCCCCTTCTCTTGCCAGCAATGTTGGGAGAGCTGGGGACTGGGAGGATGAAGGCTGAATGGCCTGAGGCTTGGAACCAGTAGGAAGGCCTGGACAAGGTTTGGGAAGGAAAACTAGCAAAACCTCATACAGAAGGGATTCAGGAGGTGGGGACAAGGAGCAATCTGGGCTAGGGCACCAGGATGGGTTTGACATCCTTAACATGACAAGGGAAGACTGCCTGGGGGAAATAGGTGCTTTGGGGAACACCAGAGGAAGATACTTCTCAGGCACTGGATAGAAAGAGACGGGGATCTGCAGCCTTTGAGGGGGGTGTGGGCAGAGCCCAGCACTAAGCTAGGGTAACAGAGTCCTAGAGTCTGGGAGGCAGTCTGGGAGCAGAAAGAAAGCAAAAGAGGGTGGGCCCTGAAGGCCAAAGTGGGGGCCTTCAAAAATGTGGGGGCAGCTTCCAGTGTTGAAGAGAAAGAGGCCAGGTAAAATTAGGCATGAAGATTGTGCTCTGGATTTGGCAAGTGGGGACATCACTGGTGTCTACGTCAGAATGGTTTCAGAAAAGTGGTGCAAAGCAAAGTCAGACCACAGGGCTAGAGGGGTGCAGAGAAAGAAAAGGCAGAGTTCCTGCTAAAAAGAGGCCAGAGAAGGCAGTAATTTAAGGAGGTGTGAGATCCAAGGGCTTTTTTAATTTTAAAATTAACCATGGTAGAAACCTGAGTGTGTTGATATGCCGAAGGGAGGCACCAATAGTGAAATGAAAGATGTAGGCAAGGGAACTGCAAGGGGCTGCACCAGAGGCCTGGCTGTGGACAGGAACAAACCTTAGCAGTGATCAAGTTGATCATGTGAATGACGGGATGTTTGTGAAGGTGCTTTGTAAACTGTAAGGTGCAGTACAAACATATAGTACCACCTTCTCCGAGATCCAGGAAAGGAAAATTTGACCATAGGTTGGCACTGGTCATATGCCACTCTGCCACACTGTTTCCCTAGAGTGTGTGTGGTCCCCAGCCAGGCTCAGATGCCCAGAGTCCTGGATGGAAATGAGGTCCCAGGACCATTGTCCTGCTCCTCCTTTCCTTATGCTCTACCTGGGGGAATCTTTGATTGTCAACCCACAGAAACTCTTCCTGGAGTCTCACTCCTCAAAGAGCTTCTTGCCATGATTCTAACCTGCATAGTTAACCCCTTGCAAGCATTCCCTGCTCCTTGCCTCTCCAAGCTTGGGCTGCTGCAGCTTCTTTCCTAAAAATCCCAGCAGGGAGCTGGCAGGACGAGAAGGGAGATACGTTTCCCTAATAAGCAGGAACTGAGCCAAAGAGGAAGGGTTTGAGCTTTGCCTATGGGTCAGGGTCCTGAACTGGCCCAGGTAACTGAGCATGGTCTGCAAAGGCAGCCTCCTGGCATTAGCACAACCTCCTAGGATCAGAGCCTGCTGCCCAACTCACCCCCAGTGCCTGGGACATTACACACAGTATTAGCTGTCATGAAAGGGCCAAATGGATTCTACCTGGGGGTTACTTGTGCAAGTTCCTCCAACCCACCATGACTACCCAGTCCCTCTCCACCTATGTCCCTCTCAAAGCTACGAACACTTGGGGTCTCAGAGTCCCCAGGCCCAGCTTATTCCACCTCCTAAACATCTCAGCAGCCTCTCCTGCCAGCACCCTTGCTAGGGCTCCTCACTGGCCTTTCTTATCCTGACTCCCTCCCCTGAGCAGCTGTCAGGGTTCTCTTTTTAAAGGGCAACCCGATCATGTCCCTGCTCTGCCCAAATCCTTCCATGAGCAGGATCAAGTGCAGTAGACAGAGTTCTGGTGGCATCATCTCCAAGTGTAAATCCCAGCTCCACTGATTAGGAGTAGAACCTCATACAGGTATTTCATCTCCGGTTCTCACACCTACCTTGCAGGCATTTTAAGAGGTAAATGTATTATGGATAAAACACCTGGTATTCCTCTTGGCCTCCAGAACCAGAGCAGAGCTTGCAGCAGGGGCCCCAAGTCCTCTCCCGATGCCCATCCTATATCTCCCCTGACCTCACTCCCTTTCCACTCCACACACAACCTCTTCTCAGTTCTTTCTCCCCATCCTACATTCTTCTAGGACCAATCCCAACGCTGCCTCCCAGGATGGCATCTCTGATCACCCCCACCCCTGGGGGGAGAGGGGTGTTGAAACACTTGACTTAGGACACCCCAGGGATATTTCGCTTCTGAGGCCTCACCAGGGCTGGCCTGTAGGTTTCCCAGGGGCACAGATGGCAAAGTCCTGGAGGGTCTCTGGGCCCTGGCACCAAGAAAATAAATGCAGGGCAAATGCATGTGGGAATGTTAGTTATGAGCAATGCAAAGAGGCAATGAATAGGGGCAGGAAATCAGGAAGAGCTTCCAGGAAGGAGGACTGCGGGAGGGAAGGGATCTGGGGGCAAAAGGGCTTTTGGGGTGCAGAGATCTCCAGAACTTCTTGGTTGGGATGAGTGAGGGGAGATCCATCTTCCCTTGGCACTGTGGGCACTGGCGCAGGAAGGGGCCCATCACCTAGCTCCTTGCTCTGATGAAGCCCGTGTTTTAGGACTGAGGGGGCCGACAGCGCCCCCCCACTCTGAGCACACACGCGCGCATACACGAGCCTCCGCTGGGTAGGGGGAAGAGAGGGGGTCGCCATTCACCAGCACCCCACCGCCAGCAGCGCCAACTGGTAGAGACCCCTACCACAGCCCGTCGACGGAGGTACCTAGGGGTCCCTACAGGGGGAAATCCCGTCCGCACCTCCCTGGGCTCCCCACCAACGCGTGTGGCCCCGGGGGGCGGGGCGCGGAGGGAAGAGGTGACATAATCCGGGCCGCACCCCCTCTGGCCGCCACCTCCCCCCAGGCCGGGCGAAGCATCCATGACATCATCGGCCTCATCTCCGCTCCCCTCCCCCCTGGGACCCCAGCAGCGGGACGCGCCCCCTCCCCAGCTGCGGTCCAGTCTGACGCGCCGCGCGGTGCAGCGTGCACTGCGGCGGGTCGGAGCTGGGAGGGGCGCCAGGGTGGGCCTGCCTCACTTACTTGCTGCCTCAAGGTCCAGCTCCGGGTCTCCGATGCGGGCGCCACCAGCCCGGCTCACTGGCGCAGCCTGAAGCCCGCCCGGCGGGGCGCGCGGCGCGGGCCCGGCTCCGCTCCGCGCCCCTCCCGCTCCCCGCCCGGGCCCCGCCCACCAGCGGCTGCGGCAAACGCGGGCCCACCCTCCGGCCACGCCCCCCGGGGCCGCCAATCCCCGGGCTGGGGCGGGGCGCGGCGCCTTAACGCTTTACACGCTGTGCCCCTGTCCGCGCGTGGGACCCCTGTGTCTCACACGCTCCAGGGCGTCGCAAGTCTGCCCCGAGTCCCTCCGTTCGTAGCCTCTTACCCTCCCAAACCCTTGGGCTCAGCCCCAGTGTCTGCTCGCTAACAAATCCAGTGGGAGCGCGCCCTCCCTGAATCCCGCATCTTTGGAGAAGGGGAGGAGCCCCTGTGGCTTGAGGAAGGGGATCCTGACTCCCAGCCCCAAGCTGCATTCCTCTCCTGCGGCTGCTGCTCCGGACGCGGCCTCCCAGCAGACGCTTTGAAACCCTGCAAGTCTGCAAGGTGGGGACAGGACGAGCTGTCGCAGGTGGATCCGACTCGGATAAAGGAAGACCCTCCCGGGCGCGGGGACCTAAGGTGGTCATATGGGAGTATCGAGGGTCAGAAACTAAGTCCAGGAGCAAACGGAGCCGATCTGAAACTTGCTGCTCGCACAGGCTTATCGTCCCAAAGGTGCGACGAGGAAAAAAAATACACTTTACACACCAGCAGGGTTTGAGCGCTTTCATCCTGCGCCCGGCACCTGGAGTAAGGCCGGGCCCCCGCCCCCACTCTGCATCCCGGGGTGAGAGGGAGTGGGGTCAGGACTTCGTCCTAGACCCGAAGCGCCAACTCGAACGCACGTGCCGCGTCCACTTCGGGGAGTGCTCACTCCGCTTAGGGCGGCCCGGGAGGACTATCGGGAGGAAGGAGTCGGCCTTGAAATGAGGCCTTACCCTTGAATAGGGTGGGGAAGCAAGCCATACCGAGGGTTCAGCATTAGCAAAAAAAAGCCTGTAGGCTCAAGGGTCTGTCCTAAAAAAACTGCAGCGCCTCCACTCCCGCTGGATTTAACCCATTATATCTCTGCTGTTATAGCTTATGTGTTTGATCTTATTTTTTGTGTTTTTTAATTTTTTTATCTTTTTGTTTTCTGAATATTTCCACATTGGTTTTTCTCTTGTATAGTGATTTTCAAGGCATAAAGTGTTTTTAATTCTCTTGGTGGTTGCCTTTAAATTTATCAAATAAAAATACAGTTTTACCAGTCTGAGCAAGAGCGAGACCTGGTCTCTACAAGAAGTAAAAAAATTAGCAGGGCATGGTGACACGTGCCTGTACTCCCAGCTACTCCAGAGGCAGAGGCAGGAAGATTGCTTGAGCCCAGGAGTTTGAGGTTGCAGTGAGCTAGAATAACGCCACTGCACTAGAGAAGACAGAGAGAGGCCCTGTCTCAAAAAAACCAACTTTATATTTAAGTCAATGACAAACCATTCACTTTTACAGTCTCCTTTATGTCATGAAAAATTTAATGTACCTTTCCATCTCTTGGCCTGCTGCCCTCACACCTACTTTTATTTGTCCACTTAATCCTGGATGACAAATCCAGCTTCTGTTTTTACTTTTTTTTAAGCCACAAATCCTCCTTTTCAATCATTGTTTTTGGATTTTGCGAACTCTTATGTTTAATTGGTTTCAAAGTCACTGCCAGTTTTTTATGCTCTAATTTTCCTTTTTCTCATTTGGACTCATCTCTCACATGACTGGTGATTTCAGGGAGGATTCCTGAATCTTGTATTCTTCTAAGCCTTTGGCTTTGGTGAGAATGCCTTTATGGTAGCTTGACTGTTTATAAAATTCTAGAGTCTCAAACTTTCCCCCTCAAAATTCTTGTCCTAATGTTGTCTCTGGCACTGAAAATGATGGCAAAGCTGGACTTGTCTAAGGTCAGCAATTTGCCTGGTGGCTGTATAGATTTTTTTTACCCTCTGAGGTCAAACTCTTTGCCAGTATGCCTCAATGTGGGCCTTAATTAATTTTCCAGAAACAAAAGAGTTCATCTTTTCAGCTTAAAAAAGTTTTCTTCTGAAAAGTTCCTGCTCACATTCTGTGAACAGATTATTTTGGCTTCTTCCTTCCCTAAAATTATCACATTGGATCACCACTGTCAAATAAATCTCGGTTCTTTTTCCCTACATCCTGGAAGAGTATGTCAAGTTTTTCTTCACCATTATGGTTTTAATTATTTTCAGAGTCAAGAGTACTGTTTGTTTTCTCCAATAACACATTTAATTCTGCTTGTTTTACTTTTTTCTTTCATTTCAGCCAATTACCCCCCTCCTCTGTCTTGATCTCAACTTAATCTCTTTATAGTTCTCCATTCCTATTTCATAAAGAATTTGGTTTTATATCTTTAAAAGAACACCAGGAAAATAAGAGAATACTATATCTGACTCTGTTCTAAGGCACATGAAAACCTTAATAAAATGGACCATTTCTAGGAAATAAAATTACAAAAATAAGATGTTGAAAATATCAGAGAAATATGTCCCCAAAAGGCTCTGGGCTCAGATGGTTTAATGGAAGAATTCTCAAACTTTCACTGAACCAATAATCCTCACCCTATAAACTTGTATCAGAGCCCAGAAAAGACAGAATGCTATTTCATTTTATGAAGCCACAATTCACCTTATACCAATTCCTGATAACAACAGCATAGAAAGAAAACTGTAAACCAATCATACTCATCAGTTCAGGGGAAAATAATTCTAAATACAATTCAAGGAAATAAAATTAAATATTGTATATATATTAATAAGCCATGAATTTTTCAAATGAGAAAAAGATGTCAAAAAATCAATCAAAAATCAATACCTCAAAAGAATTCTCCCTCATTCACTGGGAACAGTTGAAATTAAGACTCAGTATTAAGTGTTACCTTGACTTTTGGTAAAATGGCCTGATGACAAGTTGCCCTCTCCCTCTGTTCCTGTGGATAAGGTCCCCTAGCCAAACAATCCTCGTACCAAATGAAGCAGGTGCAGTTCCTGCTTATCTCTCAGTATTGGGTTTCAGTTCTCTGCCAGCCTGTAGAATTATTCAAATAGGCCAATCACATCCCTTGCAGAAACCAGGGGACACCTCATCCTCTTACTACTACAAAGCCTGCCCCCCACAACCTCTGGTTGTTCACTCCATTCCTGAGTGCAACTCTCACGTGGACCGATGTGGCTCATGGTGTCTTACTTTGGATTGTGAGTAAATATAACTAATAAACTGCTGTTGATCCCACCTGTCCAGTGTCAGGTGTCCTGTTTGGCCACTCCCATAATCCCATAATTCCTCCCTCACCAATGAAGGAGATTAAAATATCCTATGTTGCTGAGACTGTAGGGAAATAGGAACTCAGTAAGCATTTTTGAGAGTATAAATTGGTATCTTTTGGGAGGCCAATTGGGTAATATATAAAAAAGTGAAATGTGTATACCCTTGAACCGAGAAATTCCATTTCTAGGAAGAAATACTACCAAAAGTAATATGATATACACCCAAAGATAGATATAGGTATTTTTACTGATTATAAAAGTAAAAAATACATGAATCCTATAATAAATGAATTACAAGGTGCCCAATGCAATGTAACAATAGAAAGCTACTTAAAAGAATGATATGGATGTCTATGTATTGGCACAGAAAGATGACTATATTAAGTGAAAAAAGCAGTGGCAGAACATAAGCATACCATACTACAATTTTTCTTATTTTTTTAAAGAATATATATATTTATTAAAAAATATATATGTAGGCTGGGCATGGTGGCTCATACCTGTAATACTAGCACTCTGGGAGGCCGAAGCGGGCAGATCGCTTGAGCTCAGGAGTTTGAGACCAGTCTGAGCAAGAGCAAGACCCTGTCTCTACTAAAAATAGAAAGAAATTAGCTGGACAACTAAAAATATATAGAAAAAATTAGCCAGGCATGGTGGTGCAAGCCTGTCGTCCCAGCTACTTGGGAGGCTTAGGCAGGAGGATTGCTTAAGCCCAGGAATGTGAGGTTGCTGTGAGCTAGGCTGACACCTCGGCACTCTAGCCGGGACAACAAAGTGAGACTATGTCTCAAAAGAGATATATATATATATATATATATATATATCCATAGAAAAGTCAAGAAAGATACAAGTTAAATTTAACAGGGGCTACCTTGAGACAATGGGATCACATAGCATACTGCAGAAGATTCTAGGCACTAATGTAATTTTTGCTCTTTTTACAATAAGCATATATTATTTTTATAAAAAAATTAAAAAGGAAAAGAAGTTTGGAAGAATAAAGTAAGCTCTGAAAATACAGAAAGAGCAGAGTATTACGATATTAAATATTTGCTCAAAAATCACTGCCCCAATAGAGTTTGTATTCTAGTGAGACAGTAAGTAAAATATATAGAGGATTAAAACATGGCACGTACTAAGGAGAAATGTTGGGATTGTTGGGAGATTCCAATTCTGGATAAGGTGGAAGGCCTTGCTGGGGAGGTAACATCTAAATTAAGGAGGAAAAGGAGTAAGCCAAGTGAGTATCTGGAGTTTTCTAGGATGCAAATCATTTAGTAACTATAATAAAATGAGCTCTTCTTTTTCAGTATCTCCTTGCTTTGTTGCACTGAATAAAGATTCCAAATAGAAAAACTACTTAAACATTACTATTATTACAGTTTTATTTATTTATTTTAGAGACATATCCTCACTCCGATGCCCAGGCTGGAGTGCAGTGGCATGATCATAGGTCACTGTAGCCTTCAACTCCTGGGTTCAAGCTACAATCCTCCTGCCACAACCTCCCTAGTAGCTGGAACCACAGGTGTGTGCCACCATGCTTGGTTGATTTCTTAAAATTTTTTTGTAGAGGCCGGGCTCGGTGGCTCACGCCTGTAATCCTAGCACTCTGGGAGGCCGAGGCGGGTAGATCGCTCGAGGTCAGGAGTTCGAAACCAGCCTGAGCAAGAGCAAGACCCCATCTCTACTATGTAAATAGAAAGAAATTAATTGGCCAACTAATATATATAGAAAAAATTAGCCAGGCATGGTGGCGCATGCCTGTAGTC